CCCTGCAGCCTGGCGTCCTGGCCGCTCCCTGCCCCACGGGGCGTGCGTGGGGTGGCCTTGGGGAGACCTGTCCCACCAAGGGTGCTGTGGGCTCTGGGTGGGAGGCGGCCGGGGTAGCCTGTGGCCCCTCGGGGAACGGGTGTGCCCCACACCCAGCGGGCGCCCCTGGTGGGTCCAGGCGTCGCTGCTGCTGTTTACGGGGCCCTGTCCCTCCAGACGCGAGTCCCTGGAGACCAGAATGGTGTTTGACTTCACAGCGCCTCTCTAGAGCCCGGTTTGGAGCGGGAGCCAGGGAGGGGCCTGAGCTTCTGCTGAGTTAATGAATTGTTGTTCTGTGAGGGGTGTTGCTGGGTCGGGACTCGTCCTTCCACTGAGTGTCCCCTGCCGGAGACAGGGAGGGAGGTGAGGGGGCTGCCCCCAGCCTTGGCCTCCGAGTGGGCTGAGCCCTTCCCCTCTGCCCACGCTCCTGGGCAAGGGTGTGCAGGGCGGGAACCTTCCGGTGGCCCAGGGTCCCAAGGTCTGTTAGTCTCTTTTTGTGTTTTTCCTTCTCTCCCCCTCCTCCCCTCCCCGTTCCTCCTTTCCTGCCCTCCTCCCCACCCCTCCCCTCCCCTCCCCCCACTTCTGGGTTCACTGTCTCTGCCCTCTTTGTCTCTGTATTTCCATCTTTCTCATCATGTTTCTGTGTGTTTTTGCTTTCTCTCTCTTTTTCTTGCTCTTTTCCACCTTGCGGGGCGTCTCCCCTCTGGGTCTGTCTCTGCAGGGAGGCTGGCCGTTGTTCAAAGGCTTCCAGGCTCCTCTCTGCAGCTTGGCCTTGAGGCCCTGGTTGTGCGGGAACCTCCGGGCGGTGCTCAGCGCCCACGGAGGGCACAGGGGAGCCGTGTGAGGTGCAGGCGGCGCTGAGCTCACTGGGGGCCTTGGGGACCCAGGGCAGAGCCCCGGCCCTGCACCCTCCTGAGCTGAGGCCCCTGCGGGGGGTGGGGGTGCTCTTGTTACTCGCTGTTTTTAATTAGGGTTTACTTAATTGGTGCTCGGAGGGCTGGAGGGGAGAGGCCAGGCCACAGTCCCCAGAGGCCAGCCGGGGTCCCTGTGTTTGCAAGGCGCAGGTAGGGGCCTCCCCAGCCCTGCCTCAGGGGCAGACGCCTCCCTGGGACTGCTGCGGGCTCCTGCCTGGAGTGTGTGGGGGCCACGCCTACCCGTGGGCGCCTGCGGCCCTGGGGAGCCAGTGAGGGGTCTCGCAGGGCCCCAGCCTCCCAGGCGGGAGGGGCCTCTGAGGGCCCGGCCTGTGCGAGATGCTGGCGGCGTCCTGGCGCTGAGGACCACCAGCCGGGCTTCCCAGTCCGCGGGTGACCACCCAGGACTCTGTCACTCCCTGGGGTCAGGGTGTGGACTCGGCCTGGTTTCAGGAGGACCCCTGCGCTGGCTGCACAGCTTGCCTGGGGGCTCTGCCCCTGCCCTGCCTCTTCCGGAACACTCCGGCTGGTCCCCACACAGAGCGGCCTCTGATGTGGGGGTTCCAGCCGCTCACGCGCTGAGCCCGGCTCACGCCAGGCCGGTTCCCGAGCTCCTCAGGCCGGGGAGGAGGCAGGGGTGGCCGCTGGTCCTGGCCGACAGGGGCCAGCGCCTGTGTCCCTCGTCCGTCCTCCTGTCTGTCTGCCCGTCTGCCCACTTCTCTGGCCACGTGTCCGTCCAGCCCTGCGACTGCCCAGCTGCCCACGGCCCTCGTTAATTGCTCGTTTGCTCAGTACTTTCTGAGTGTCGCCGGTGTTGAGGACACGGGCGTGAGCAGAGCTGGCCAGGCCCGTCCTGTGCTCTCGGGGGCAGCGCGGCGGCTGCTCCGTCCCGTCACCTGTGTCACCTGTGTGCTGGCTGCTTTGTCTGTCCCTGCCCCACCTCCCCAGAGCGCACGCTCCGCAGGACAGGTCGTGACCTGTGTCCGCAGACACGTCCAGGCGCTCGGTGCCGTGGGCACGCGACGTGCATGGCTCAGGGCACGCGTGAGTGAGGACGGCCACGAGTGCCACGCGCACTCCCCACGGAGCGTGGGGGAGGAGTGCAGGGCAGGGTGGTCAGGGAAGGTCTCAGTGTTGAGGTGACTCTGGACAGGGGCCCGCAGGACAGGAGGGAACCAGCCGTCTGGGTGTCGGGGGAAGAAGCCGGGAGGAGCCAGAGGCGCCCACTGGAGGGATGGGTGCACCGAGGACTTCAGGGCCTGAGGCCGGACCGGATCGCAGGGAGGAGGCGTTGCAGGAGAAGCTGCCCCCCGACTGATGGGTTGCAGCTGGGCAGGACAGTGGGTGGGGAGCCGGAAGGTGCCGGATGGGCGTGGTGTTTCAGGAAGAAAGAGCGCGCTCCCCCGTGCGGAAGCGAATCGCGTAGCGGCCTGTGGGGAGAGCTGGCGGGCGTGGAGGGGAGGACGCGGGGTGGGTGCCTATCGGCAGCTCTTCCCTTTAGGGAGTTTTGCAGCAAAGCAGGACGCAGGAACGGGCAGCGGTGGGGCAGAGGGAGTCAGGGCGGTGTTTTGACACTGGGCTTTGCAGCCTGTCCGTGCTGCGGGGCAGGAGGGACGGACAAGTGGGCGCTGTCGGCGAGGGGGGCAGCCCCGAGCAGAGGAGGGAGGAGGCAGCCCAGGCCCGTCCCAGTGGGTTGCGCCGCGTGGACGTCCGTGTTCCCGCTGCGTCTGGGAGAAGCCTGGGCCTCGGCCCAGGTGTGCGTGGGAGGCGGGAGAGGAGGGAATTGGGAGCGTCCCAGCCTCCCCCGCCCCGACCACCTTCCAGCGACTGCTCTGGCTGTCCGGACGCAGCGTGTGGGTGACGCACAGACGCGCCCCTGCCCTGTGCCCTCGCGGGGTGAGGCGGCCCCTCAGGAGCGCTCAGCCCGGGAGAGGCTGTGAGGGTGGGCGTGGTGACCGCTGCCCTCGTGCGGGGTGGAGCGGGGTGGAGCGTAGCCAGTGGGCAGCAGGTGGAGACGGGGCAGGCTGGGCAAAGCTCCAGCCCCACCCTGGGCGTCCTGAGAAGGCGGAGCCCTCAGGACACCCGCTGGCTCCTCCAGAGTCTGGCACCCCCCCCAGCCTCCTTTCCCTGCCTGCGCCCCGCGGCCGTGGCCCACACCCGTCCATCCACCAGCCTGTCCCCGCGTGGTGCCCTCTGCCCGCCGGGCCCTGCAGGAAGCCCCTGTCACCGCCTCAGGCTGAGGGGCTGGTTCCCCCTGGGGGCTGGGGCACAGGCGGGCGACAGATCAGCCCCCAGATCTGGGCACCCTCACCCCGGTCGTGGCCCCGGCCTGGCGCTTCCCTGGTCGTGGTCTTCGGGGGTCAGAGAAACATGTCCCCGCTGAGGCGGGCGGCTCTCCACGGAGTGTTTCCAGCTACAGCTTCTCGCTCGGCTGCAAATTAGACTGGGGTTTCTTGCCAGGACGTGTAATTAGAGCTCAGGTTCCTCCCTCCCTGGACTTGGGCTCCTGAGGGAAGAAGAGAAGGTGTGTGGCCCTCGCACAGGGACGGACCCTCTCTCCCCGGGCGTGGCCCTCGGCCGCTGCTCCCTTCCCTTCTGGGCGCGGGACACAGGCCCGATTCCGGAGGCGGCAGGTGCCTCCTGCGCCCGAGGGAGGCCAGGCTCAGCTCAGGAGCACAGACGTGGGCACCAAGATGGTCCCCCGCTGGGCAGAGGGGCCCACCCAGGGTGAGCAGCCACCCCGTGTCCAACAGTGATGCCAGGACGCTGCCTTTCCATGAGGGGACCCGAGACATTGTGTCCGAAACAGGAGGCAAGAGGCACTGGGCCTGAGGGGCCAGTGACGCTGGACTTGGACGTGGGCTGGCCCTGGTTCCTGTCTCAGCTCTGACCAGCCGGCTTGGCGGAGGCTCTTCCTCGGCCTCTGGGCTCTGTGGCTGCGGCCCGGCAGGTCTCGCGCCCGGTCAGCTGGGGGCTTGCTGGGGGGTCTCGCGCCCGGTCAGCTTGGGGTTTGCTGGGCGGTCTCGCACCCGGTCAGCTCGGGATTTGCTGGGGGTTCTCGCGCCGGGTCAGCTAGGGGCTTGCTGGGGGGTCTCGCGCCCGCTCAGCTGGGGGCTTGCTGGGGGGTCTCGCGCCCGGTCAGCTCGGGATTTGCTGGGGGGTCTTGCGCCGGGTCAGCTGGGGGCTTGCTGGGGGGTCTCGCGCCGGGTCAGCTAGGGGCTTGCTGGGGGGTCTCGCGCCAGGTCAGCTGGGGGCTTGCTGGGGGGTCTCGTGCCGGGTCAGGTTGGGGTTTGCTTGTCCTCCCCTCCCCCACCGGAGGCTGCAGGCGGCTTTTGCAGGCCCTGACCACCACCTCACCTGGTGTGGCTGGAACCAACGTGGGGGGGCTGAGTCTGACGAGGGGCTCCTGGAGCAGCAGAGGGAGCCCGCTTTCTGGGGCCTGGGATTGGGGTCACTGCAGGCACAGGTGTCACTGGTGACTCAGAACAAGCCTGGCTGGGGGCTCCACAGCCCCCCTGGTGTCGGCTTCGCTGGTGTGCTGAGACCGCCCCCCCGACAGGGCCCCCCCGCCCACGCCGGTCCCTGGAACTCCCCGCTGTGTGGACGTGAGTGCCAGGTGGGGTGACGGAGCGACCCTGTGCCCAGAGCACCGGTGCCTCTTCCTCATGGCGGCTTCCCACCCGGCCCCCACATCGCTGGGGCCGTTATGTAACCACCCCGGGAGGCAGTGCCGTGGCAGAGGGGGATCCCGGCCTCCTTCCTTGGCGCACGCCCCCGGGTGGTATTTATAGAGGCCCCGGCTCACGCCCCTGCTCTCTTTCTGTCTCCTCCCTTCGCTCCCGTCTTTCCCTCTGTTTCAAGGTTCTCTCCGCCCTCCTGGACTGGAGGCAGAGCCGGGCCGCCCAAGCCCCAGGGCTCCTGGCTCTGCAAGGCGGGGGTTCTGGTGGAGCCCTGGAGCTGCCTGTGCTGCTGGAAGCTGACCCTGGCCCTCGGGCTCTGGTCCTGTGGGGTCCTCTCTGTGGTCTCAGCACCCCCTGTGTGGCTCAGGTGGTTTCCCGTGGAAGCGGGAGGGCTGGCTCACTGGGCAGGGGTGTGAGGCCAGCATGCGGAGGCCCGGGGGCTCTGCACAGCTCGGAGGCACCTTGCACACGCCCCCCTGACACAGCGGCCCCGGGGGAGTGTCCGCCCCTCTGCAGACCGGCTACCGCGGTGCCAGGCCAAGGCCGTCCCGGATGTGACAGACTGTCCCAGCCGGCGGGGCACATGGGTGGGAGAGAAGGGAGCGAGGTTTCAGCTGCCCCCGGAGAAGGACGGTTGCCGTTCACAGGGGTCTGGGCTGCTCGTCCCTGAGGCAGGTGGGACTGGGCCGGAGCACCTGTTCTTCGTTCATTCGCCGACGGTTACTGGGCCCTGTGTGTGCTGGGGCAACCAGGTCCCAGCCGCACAGGGCCAGGCTCTCGTGCTGCCGTCAGTGGACGGCTGCTGCCTGGGGGCCACTCTGACTGTGCTCCGAGCCCTGCCACCCCCTGCCCTTGGCAGTGACCGCAGGCTGGGCTCTGGTCCCAGACCCGGCCGGGCTCCAGGTTCAGACCCCCCTCACTCCCCCAGGGATCCCGCAGAGAGATCCACCGTGGGTCAGCTGGAGGTGCCACTTCCTGAGCTGCTGGCCCTGAGCTGGGCTGGAGCGTCCAGGATCTGGGGGAGCGCGAGGGCAAGTGGGCCGCGGTGGGGCAGCTGGGTCTGCTGGGCCAGGCCGTGGTGGGCCTTGGGGACTGGACGGCGTGAGGCCTGGGTCTTGCGTTTGAGTGAGCTGAGAGACCTTGAAGGCCGGAGTTGGCGGAGTCTCAGCCCAGGGCCCACTGAGTCCCCAGGCAACAGCATCTGGCCACTCTCTTCCCTCCAGGTGGCGGCTGGGGACACACCCGCTCCTGAGCCGCGTGGTCAGCCCCTGCGTGGACAGCGGGTCAGGCGCTCGGGCCCGTGGGCCACTCCCCATCTTGGGTCTGTGGCTGGAGAGCGGAAGGAGCGTGGCTAGAGCTCTGAGACGGGGTCTAAATTAATTGTCAGGGTTTAAGAAGAAGGAATTTTACGTGAATACCCACATTTTCATGTTGCTTGGGAGAAGTCCCTGGAGCCTGTACTCCCTCCAGAGTAGATGCTTTTAATTTGGGAACTGGCCCGGGGCCGGGCTGGGGTCTTGAGCAGCTGCCCTGCCCCTGGCCCACGGAGGTCCCGGGTCTGCTGTGCCCGGCGCAGATGGCTGGGCTGGCGTGGTGGCTGAGGGGCAGCTGGTCCTGCCTCCTGGGCTGCGGTGCCAGAGCACCCCTCCTGCCACCCCTCCTGCGCGGCGTTCGGACACTTCCCTCCCTGCCTCCACTCCCCATTTCGCAGGGAGCCCAGAGCTGCAAGTTTGCAAGTTCACACTGAGGTGAGAATGGTTGCTAATGGCCTCCCGTCCTGGACTGGGACCGAGGTGGGAAGGGAGGTGCTGGGCCGCCAGGAGGACCTGCCTGGCTCCTGGGCCCACCTGGGGCTGTGCGAGTGGGCAGGACAGGACTCTCCATCGTTCTGCAGCCCCCTCCCTCCCCGCTTGCAGCTCCACCGGCTCTGAGCCTTCTCCGCTCCAGCCTGCAGCCAGACAGACGTTTCTAGTACCCAGATCCCCAGCAGGTCGCGTGGCTGGTGATATCCCTTCCGGGGGCTTCCTGTCACTCAGCCCTGCCAGCCCCAGGGCTGGGGAGGCCAGGCTGGCAGCCCCCATCACACCAGCCAGCGTCACCCTCCCTGTCTCCCTCCAGCCTGGTTGAAAAGGAGCCTCTGGGGTCCTGTGTGCTGGCCTGGCGGGCGGCCTGGGCCCTGAGTCGTCTCTGTACCTCGCACCCGTCTGGGGTCCTGTGTGCTGGCCCGGAGGTACCCTGCTCTGGCTCTGTCCGTGAAATCCTGTCTCCCTGCCTAGTGAGGGGCTCCTTTCCCTGAAGGACTGTGGTCGGTCTGCGTGGGCTGCCATAGCTGAGCACCGCAGACGGGGTGGCGCAGGCAGATGTGGATTGTCGCGTGTTCTGGAGGCAGGAGGTGCTGGCCGCAGTGCCGGCAGCGCTGGTTTCTGGTGGCCGCCTTCTTGGTGTGGTGGACCCGGACCTGGGACGGGTGGGTACAGAGCCAGGCCTCCAGGCACCAAGCGATTCCTCTGCTCAGCGCCAGCCCCCCAGACCCGGTCTGCTGCTGGGGGTCTGCCGCGCGCCCTGGTTGCAGAGTCCGGCATCCTTCCTCCCTCCTCCGGCTTTTCCTCCGACCGTGGCCCCTTCTCACGCCTCCCTGGCCTCAGCCTCTGGGCCTGAGGACACCAGGCAGCACGGGCCAAGGGCAGGACCCCCCACCTGCCCGAGACCCTCCCTCCTCAGCCCAGGAGGGAGCCCCCTGGGCACAGGGCAGCCTCCGGTCTGGGGGTGGGGACCCCCAGGGCACCCCAGCACCTGTGTCTCAGCCCTTGTTCTGGAGAACAGCGTGTGGGGAGGGAAGAAGTCAGCTCCCTTCTTCCCATCACCAGCCTCCTCGATACTGGGGTGGAGGTCGCCCCTGCAGGCAGACAAGCAGTCTGGAGACTTGAGCCACAGGTGGGAGCAGCCAGTTCCCACTGGGGTGCAGGTGAGACACGTGGGCTCCCAGACAGGTGGAGGGGCAGGGCAGCCGGCAGTGCGTCCAGCTCCTGTGAGCTGCTGCCAGGGGTGCACCTGCTCCCTGTCCTTCTCTGGGCCGCAGCCTGGGACCCGGCGCTGGTGGGGAAGGTGGGCACGGTGCTCCTGGGCCACGAGAAGGTAAATAAAAAACAAACGCTGATTCTTTCGTGAAGTTTCTTATGTGCCGGCTGCTGTGCTAATACGATTATCCTACAAACCCTATGAGCTAAATGCTGATACTAACACTCCTTTTAAAAAAATTAGAGTTTTTATTTTGAGCTAATTGCAGATTCATAATGTGCGGCTGTAATAAATGATACGGAGACAGCAGTGTGCTCGTCACCCAGTTCCCCGAAAGGTGACATCTTACAGAGCTATCACACGAAGCCAGAGCCAGGATGTTGACGTTGACACAGTAAAGACACAGAACATGTCACCACCTGGAGGTTTCGTGGCACCTTTGACAACCGCACCTGCCGCTCCCCCTGCCCTTCCTGATCCCCGGCAGCACTGGTGCCTTCTCTGTGTCTAGGATCGTGTCACTTCAGCCGTGCCGTGTAAATGCAGTCCTACCTCTCGACCCGGGCACGGTGCTCTGCAGACTGACCCAGGCCGTGGCGCGTGTGGGTAACAGTTTGTGGCATTTCATCGCAGGGCAGCATTGCGTCGTGCGGATGAACTGTAGTGTGTTTAACCCGTTGCCCATGAAAGACACCTGGGCTGTTTCCAGTTTCGGGGGTATTTTGAACGAAGCTGCTACACGCATTCACGCACAGATTTTGGTGTGGACGTAAGTTTTCATTTCTCTGGGACAAATGGCCGAGAAGGGAATTATCAGGCCATGTCGTAGTTGCACGGTTAGTTTTCTAAGAACCTGCCAGCTGTTGGCCAGGTGGACGTCCCGTCTCACAAATGTCACGTTCCCCCGGGCAGCGTGCGCGGCCCCGGCTGCCCCAGGTCCTCACTCGCGTGTGGTGTCGTCGCTGTTGTTTGTTCCGGCTGTTCTGCCTGGTGCGTGGTGGTCGCTGTGGCTTCGATCTGCATTTCCACGGTGGCCGTGACAGTGACGTCTCCTCCTGGGTATCTGCCGCCTGAACTCCTTCGTGGCGAAGCATCTCCTCGTGTTTGGCGCATGCCGCGATGGGCTGTTGGCCGCTGGTCTGTCATTAGACGGATGGTTCTCAGATATTTTCTCCCAGTCTGTTGCTTTTCTGTTTCTTCATTTTTTTAAAAGGGACTTTTGCAGAGCAAAAGTCTTAAATTTCGATGAAGTCCATCTTACCAATTTTCCTTTGGTGGATTCGGCTAGTGGTGCCAAGTCTGAGATCTCTAAGATCATGAAGACTTTTCTCCTTTGACGTTTTTTCTAAAAGTTTCATTGTTTTACGTGTTAAGTTTGGGATCCATTTTGAGTTAATTTTTGTATGAGGTGTGAGGTTTAGGTTGAGGGTTTTGTTTTGTTTCGTGGATGTCCAGTTGTTCTAGCACCATTTGTTGTAAAGCCTGGATTTCCTCCACTGAATTATTTCATACCTTTGTCAAAATCAGTCGGGCATGTTCGTGTGGGTTGATTTCTGTGTTCTTTATTCCGTTCCATCTATCTGTGTCGGCTGCTCGACGGGTACCATGCGATCCTGATCACTGTTGTTATGTAATGCGTCTCGAAATTGGGTAGAAATTATTTTAGCTGTTACAATTTCTTTGCCTTCCATGTAAATTTTAGAATAATTTTGTCAACATATATAAATAATCTTGATAGGAATTGTATAAAAACTGTATGCTAATTTGGAGAGAATTGACATTTCATGATGTTGAGTCTTCCGGTCTGTAAACACGGTGTCTCTCTCCATTTATGTAGATCTTCTTTGACGTATTTCATCAGCATTTTTAGTTTTTAGGATACGAGTCCTGTATGTGATTTGTTATGTTTACATCTAAGTGTTTGTTTAATTTTTGTGTGATTATGAATGGTATTGCATTTTTCGTTTTGGTGTCTATGCCCATTGTTATTTTATAGAAAAAACATAGGTTTTTATATGTTTATCTTATATCCTGTAACCTTGCTGAACTTACTTATTAGTTCTAAGAGAATTTTTTTGGTAGATGCCCTGGAATTTTCTGTGTTGACAAACGTACGATCTGCAGATAGGAATAGTTTCATTCTTCCTTTGGAATCTGCATACCTCGTTTTTCTTTTTCTTGCCTTATTGCGTCGACTAGAACTTCCAGAACTGTGTTGAATAGGGGCGGTGAGAGTGAACATCTTTACTTTGTCCCTAATATTAGGAGGAAAATATTCAGACTTTAACCATTAACTATGATGTTAACTGTAGGTTTTTGTATAATAGATGCCTTTATTAAGTTGAGGCACTTCCCTTATATTCCAATTTTCTGAGTGTGGTTTGTTCGTTTTTTTTTTTTTTATCGTAAATGAGTATTGGGATGCTTTCTTTGCATTGGTATGATTGTGTGATTTTTCTTCTTTATGACATTAGTATGGTGGATTATAATGATTGATTTTTGAGTACTGAACCAGCCTTACATCCCTGGAATAGATGGTCATAGTATATAATGCTTTTTATATTGCTAAATTCTATTTACTAAAATCTGTGAGGCACAAATTTTTAAGGATTTTACATCTATATTCACGAAGGCTATTGGTCTGTAGTTTTTTCATTTTGGGGACTGTCTTTGTCTGGTTTTGATATCAGGATAATACAAGCTTCAGAAAATAAATTTGGAAATGTTCTCCCTCTTCTCTTTTCTAGAAACTGTTGTGTAAAAATGGTGATAGTTCTTCTTTAAGTGTTCAGTAGAATTCTGCAGTGAATCCAATTGTCCCTGGAGATTTCTTTTTTGAG